GTCTGTCTGTCTGTCTGTCTGTCTGTCTGTCTGTCTGTCTGTCTGTCTGTCTGTCATGTTACATGTTACGGATTGTCCCATGCCTTAATTTTTCCCGTTAAACATTAATAAATAGGTCTCATTCTCTCTGTCTACATCTCTCTAGTATTTTTTTTTTAAAGCCGCCACTAAAGCTTAATTAATCATAGTATGTCAGTTTCTATACAATTTCTAAGTTTATCTTTCATCTTGTTTTTCTCCATATTGAGAAGGAAAAAAATGTAAATCAAGACCGATGATATTTCAATAAATATATATTTGCTTACATTTTCTAGGAGCTGGGTCCTAATGTTGTTGATCTTTGTGTGTCCCGGGGTAATGCTGTCGAGCATGCCCTATTAAATTCAACATCTTCCCTTTTTTTAACCTGTGACCTGATTTTGATGCCCATATTTGTAGGTTACATAAAAATGTGCTGACATGGTGCAAACTGTTGTGCTTCAAGAAAAACAAAGCGAGAAAAAGAGGAATTGCATAGTTTGTGCTGCTGCTGCTGCTGCTGCTGCTGCTGCTGCTCCTGCTGCTGCTGTTGCTGCTGCTGATGATGATGATGATGATGATTTTGATGATGATGATGATGATGATGATGATGATACTACAGTAGAATCCTGTTATAACGAGAGGGAGCGGACCGGATCAAAATGTCCGTTATAGCAGGATTCTCGCTATAAGGGATCCAGTAATAAATTAAAGGGAAACTGTAAAGTAGGCCTACTCTATGAGTTTGGTGTTCTGTTTATTTCCTTTTGCTATCTCCCCTGGTGGTGATTTTGTTTCAACATGACCTCTAGGTCTTACCTGATCAAAAATCTAATTATGTTTCTTTCTCTAGCGATAGATCTAGCGATGTGGACTGACACTGACAGCTCGGCATTGGCGATCAGAAAGAAAGGGCTCTGGGCTAACTCGCCCGCAGTGTTTTCCCCCACCCCACCCTGTGGTACATTCTGTCTGCTTGCGCACGTCACACATTCGCTCCATGCACCACAGCACTGTGACCTCTCCATCCCCGCATCGGAGACGTGAGAGGCATCGTAGGCCTTGATAATCTAAACTGGGCTTACGCTGGCCTATCACGCGATGCATTCTGCCTGTCTGCACATGCCACACCCTCCCTACTCAGTTGCCCCAGCCTTCATTGTTGACGAACATGGGATCTCCTATCCTTTGTTTTGCAAGATCATCAACAAGTTTCTCAACTGGCGAGGTTTTGCATTATGTAAATTGGCCTATGCACTGTGCACAGCAGCAGCAATATTCCGCTATAACCGACTCGCACGTTTGTCTGATAGCGCTATAGCAGTATTTCATTAACAAAGGTAAAGAGGAGAAAAAAATGGGGTTTTAGAATAGTGTCTTTATAACAGACTTCTCGTTTTTTCCCGACTCGTTATAAGTGGACTCCACTGTAACCGATTCCTGTCTAAGGCAATCCCCTGTAAAAACGACCACTTCCCCCCTTATGTTCTTTTTAAAAAATATTATAAATGACACTGTCCAAGATGTTCATGTGTCTAAGACAGCCACTTTTCTCCTAGACAAAGAGTGGCAGTCTTGAACAATTTTGACCGACAACACCACTACCAGGTACCTCAGAATTACAAAGAGGTACATATCCGCCCAGTACCTTGTTTTTGAGAAATTTGTCCTCCAATAATTTGAGTTTCACAATATCTCAAGCTTTTTCAAATGCAATTCTTTGAATACCTTGAAAACGACCCCGAATAACCTTACCTTACGTGGTTTTTGGAGATGTTTATTAATTATGTTTCAGTTGGGTTCACTTTCA